CCACCAACTCACTTTAAAAAATGCAAAAGCTGAGATTCTGCACCCTCTGAATACATGACATGGCCACATCAGTCCAGGAGACAGGCCAGGGCTGTCCCACCGGCCCTGTGTCTAGCAGCCCTGCTGTGATCTCATTAGTGATCAGACAGTAAACGGCTCTTCTCCTACCCAAGTCAGCCACTAGGGGAGACAGAATCACAGGAAGCTTCCTATTCAGTGCAGTTATCAAACCTAACAGCCCATGAGGGGAAGGGAAATGGAGCCCTGAACTTACCTGCCCCCAGTGCTCCCAGCACCCTAAAAAGGGAGAGAAAGAAGAGGCCGTCAGTGGGATTGTCCCTGGGTGGGGAGGCCTCCTGCTCTGCAGAAGTCACCATTGAAGCCTCAGGCAGTAGGGGAATTTCAGGTTTACATTCCCAGAGCAGCTGCCACCCCCTACCAGGGACTTTCCCCTACACAGCCTCAGCAATCCCTGCGGGCCGGGCGCCACTGCAGAAATCTTCTCCCCAGGCACTTTATAGGCAGAAGATATATCTCTGCATTGAGAATCAAATTCCCTCCACTGCTGAGAGACCCAGAAGTCCCCTGGCCCCACTAAACCCATTAACCTGCAGTGAGAGGGACCTTAGGCCTGGCTTGGGACCTCAGCATGGTGGGAGAGGGGATTTCACCCTCCAAGTGCAAATGCAGACAGACATTTCCAGGAGACAAGGTCTTGGGGCTGCAGCATCCAGGACTCCCAGGACCCATCCCTGTCGCCACTGCCAGACTCACTGTGTGACCTTGGGCAGGGCTCTGCCCCTCCCTCTGCCTCACTTTCCCCAATTGTCCCATAGGGATAATGCCCCTGACCCCACTTTGTAAAGTGCTTTGGGGTCTAGGGCTCAGAAGCGCCTATAGAAACACTGCGTATGATCATTGCAATAACAGCCTGACCTGCAGGGGTTGGCTCAGCGGCTGCTGCCCCTTCTTTCCTCCTCTCTCAGTGAGCAGGGAAATCTCCCAGGACAGGCTGCAGATGCCCTCATCCCTTCTCTGGACAATGGCTCTCTCTAGGTCTTCCAGCTGGGACAGCAGCCGCTGCTCCTGCCCCTCCAGAAACCCTCGCAGCTCCTGCCGCTCCCAGACGATCTTCTGCCTCTCGGCTTCTGTCTGTTTCTGCAACAGGGAGAGGGTGGCTCAGTAACAGGGGAACATAGAATATAAGAATGTCCATACTTGGTCAGACCAATGGTCCATCTAGCCCACTATCCTGTCTTCCGACAGTGGCCAATGCCAGGTGCCCCAGAGGGAACAACCCGAACAGGGAAACATCAAGTGATCCATCCCCTGTCGCCCATTCCCAGCTTCTGGCAAACACAGGCTAGGGACACCATCCTTGCCCATCCTGGCTAATAGCCATTAATGGACCTATCCTCCATGAACTGATCTAGTTCTTTTTAGAACCCAGTAAGTGTCTTGCTCTTCACAACATCCTTTGGCAAGCAGTTCCACAGGTTGACTGTGTTTTGTCTGAAGAAATACTTCCTTTTGTTTGTTTTAAACCTGCTGCCTATTCATTTCACTTAGAGACCCCTAGTTCTTGTGTTATGAGGAGTAAATAACACTTCCTTATTTACTTTCACCACACAAGTCATGATTTTATAGATCTCTATCATATCCCTCCTTAGTCGTCTCTTCTCCAAGCTGAACAGTCTCACGCTTTGTCTACACTGGCACTTTGCTGGCAAAACTTGTCATTCAAGGGTGTTAAAAAAACACACCCTCAAATGACAAATTTTAGCGATGAAAAGTGCCAGGGTGAACAGCACTTTGTCAGCAGGAGCACTCTCATACCGACAAAGCTGCTGCCACTTGTGGGGGGTGGAAGATTTTTGTCGGCAGAAGACCTCTCTCCTGCCGACAAACAGCAGCTACACTGCGCGCCTTTTAGCAGCACGGCTGTAGCGGCAAAACCTTGTTGCTAAAAGCTGCGGAGTGTAGCCATAGCCTCAGTCTTATTAATCTATCCCCACATGTTCCATACCCTTCATCATTTTGTTGGCCTTCTCTGTACCTTTTCCAATTCCAATGTATTTTTTTTGAGATGGGGCGACCAGATCTGCAGGCAGCATTCAAGATGTGGACATACCATGTATTTATATAGAGGCAATAGGATATTTTCTGTTTTATTGTCTATCCCTTTCCTAATGATTCCCAATATTCTGTTTGCTTTTTTGACTGCTGCTGCAGATTGGA